CCCCTCCGGGGTTGGGGAATCGTCCCCGACCCTCCCAGTCCACCGACCCCGCTGGTGGTGCTAGAGACTGCAGCCAGGTCCCAGCACAGGGGGAGCAGCGAGGCACCCCAAGGGGGGACGCATCCCTTTGGGTTCCCTAGGGACACACCTGAGTCCCCCTGCCATGGACACGCCTCCTTTGCAGTGTCCGACCCTGGGGCTGTAAGGAACCCCCCAACCCTGGGTTGAGGACACCAGGTGCAGGGCATTGCCAGGAGCAGGAGGGGAGGGCACCCAGCACAAGCCCAGGCTATGGAGCCTCTGGTAGATATTAAATTGTCTTTATTACACAGATACAGAGTTAAGAACAGACATAACCTGAATCATAAAGTTTACATCTTTCACAGGTCAAACATACAGTACACTTAGAGAAAGCAGGGAACAGCAAGGGGAGGGACAGCATGCCGAAGGAAAGTCCTACCACGTCATCTCTCAGGGCTGGCCCCCAAAGCCCACGCCTGGCTCTGGTTTCCAGCCCTCCAGGGACTCCTGTGCCCCAGTGCCCCCGTCCCCAGGGCTGGCTGGGTAACACGGGCAGGGCTCAGCCCCGCATGGGACCAGGGAATGGGTGCTGCCCACAGCCGGGAGGGAGGGGGGACACGGGCACCACAGCTCCCTCCGAGGGCTGTGGCTTTTGGTGGCATCAGAGGAGCCCCCGGAGCTGCCACAGCAGTGGAGACACCTCATCACTGTACCTAGGGCCTGGGAACACGGTGGCATCTTGTCCCTGATATCAAACCCACCGGGATCCAGAGGGGTACCCCAAAGAAAAAGGAGGGGATTACAGCAGCCCCCAGAGGAGGAGGAGGAGGAGATGTTTGGGTGAGGGTTTGAAGGGCTCTGACAGGGATGGAGCAAAGCCCAGGTGTGGGACCCCCACTCCGGGATGTCCAGCCTTGCTGGGATGTGGCACTTTGGTTTCAGCTGGAATTTCGAGTTGGGAATGTGAGGAAGGGGCTGGAGATGGGACCCCAGTGCCACGCTTGGCACCAGAGAGCCACATCTCTCCTGCCACCTCATCCAGCTTGGTGCTATGGCCAGCACCCAGTGACCCGGGCTCTGCCTCCCGTGGGGACACGGACCTGGGACATGCTGTCCCCATGTCCCCACACCAGCCGGGATGGGGGCAGGAAACCCCAGAGCTGTGGGCAGCCATGGGGACCTGGTCTGGCCCAGCCACTGTGGCACCTCGTGTCCCCACACTGCCCCACAACCACCAGGGTGTCCTTGCCCTAGCCAGGCTGTGCCAGCCCACCCTGCTTATCTACCTGCCACCTCCCAGATGCCACAAAGCCACCAAAGGACACGTCTGGGGCACAGCATGTGGCACACATCCCTTGGGCCCCTGCACACCACTACAACACCAGTTTGGAGTAAAACCCCAGGGAAGCACCCATTGCCCTGACCAGCACCACCACAGCATTGCCCTGGCCCCGTGGCCGCATCATCCTCCCACAGGAGGACGAAATTTTTTGGGAAATA